ACCCTCATTACCCGCCAATAAAAATAAATTTTCGAAACGCAACCCCGCACTCTTTAAACCGGGTCGGTATGAGAGTATGAGAGGGTCGGTTCTCCACCTGCTTTGTTTCAGTTCACTCGCTACATCACGATACAGTACAGCTGCTCCCAGCGGTTCCCCCTCTTCCTTCCGGCCTTACTGCACCGTTCTTGGTTTTAACCCTTTTCCTGCCACATTGTTGTTGGTTGTTTTTTTTTGTTTGGTGGGGTTTTTTTTACCCTGCTCACCCATTTCTATTAACTGGCTCTTTTGTGTTTAGTAGAAACAACAACAACCACAGCAACAACAACAACAAAATGTGCAGCACTTTGGATTTTAAAATTAACTGTTAGTATTAGTGTTGACACACGAGAGAAATCTATCTATCTATCTATCTATCTATCTATCTATCTATCTATCTATCTATCTATCCTACCTCGTTGTGACACACTCTCGCCGTCTTCACTAGCTGTCCTAACGAAGAGGACGTTTAACTCGGAGCTTCCCCCTCTTTAATAACCTTGTGCCACCTAATTGTACTGTAAGTGCCGTAATTCTAGTCCTGAAACGAAACTAAATAAACTTACAGTGTTGAAAGGGGCGTCAAATCGACACACGGAATTTTTTTGTTGTACACTCAAATACGGGGTGCTCAGTACTGATGACATCGTGTCGTTTTATGGTGTCATCCCCAGGCAAAGTGATTACGGATCAGAGTTCTGTTTTATGTGATTGACGAGAAGGCATAAAATATTGTTAAAAAATGATAAATGACTGTCACTGCAAGGTACACAACAACGGATGATGTCAATTTCACTTTATTTCTTGGGTATTGCTAGTGGTTTGCAACAATCTCAATTTTACGCAGTCTCAAACAAAATTGGCAAAATAGACAGGTGGGAGAGGCGTTGGTAGAGTAGTGGTTAGGCTACCGGACTCGTAATCGTGAGGTTGCGGGTTCAGGGGTTCGAGCCTCAGCTCGGTCCGACGTTGTGTCCTTGGGAAAGTAACTTCCCACTTGGCTCGGTCCTGTCGGAGGCGGACGTTAAACTAGGAGGTCCCGCCCCTTAAATAATCTAATAGTGTTGATAGGGGCGTTGAACCAAGGAGATTAAAAGTAAACTCCTTGCGTTGAACCCATACCATTTTTCACAGGTGGGAGAATTCTAGAAGTGAAAGCACTCACCTTACTGTAGGAGTATGGTTGATACACATTGGAAGGAAGGAGGTTGTTGTGGGATATGGAGACATTCTAGTTTCTTCTCGGTGAAGGTTTTTTTTTTATTTGAGTGGAAAGACTTGCCTTAAACTTCTACCTTCCTGCCTCTTGACATTTCCCGTCCTCCGC